TATAAAGTTGGTTTATTTGATCAAGGTTAAAATAGATATGTTGTTATTTCTGGTAACCTTTTGTGGACTTTTGCTGACCAGGACTGAACAATGAGGTTATAAGGATCTGTTTATAGATATAAGATGAGATATGGGATGAAGAGATTTTTTGTTGAATGTTAAGAGAAGGTGATAAGTTGTTAAAATTGTTAATACTTGTCATGAAGTGGTCATTGTTACTAATATGATTGGATAGATGAATTGTGTTTTATGCTGTTAACTTTATTATTTACTTTTTTAAAAAAATGTAACATTGATGTATATGCTCTTGTTACATGCCCATGGGATATTTTAATGGAGTGTGGCTTGCACTTATATATAATGTATTTGGGTTACCAACAGGGCCCTGAGGAAGGCAATGACTGAGTACAAGCTGGTGGTGGTAGGAGCTGGTGGTGTTGGAAAAAGTGCCCTGACGATCCAGCTTATTCAGAATCACTTTGTGGATGAATATGATCCTACTATTGAGGTGAGGTTTGAGAGCATTAACTTCTTCAGCATACTGAGTGTGTGTATGAACCTTTGTTTTCTTTGCTGCTACAGTGCTCCAGGTGAAGCATGTTCTTACATGCTGAATTATAGGTATTCACAGTTATCAGTTTCCACCTTTTTTTGTTTGTTTGTTTCAGCGTTCAGGGATCTGTATATGTATACTGTTACGTTATTCAAATATAAAGCCATTTTGCCAATCCCTTCTTGTCATGCTATAATCCAGAAAATTCTTTACTTTTTTATTCTGCTTATGGAAGCTGTACATTTTGTTTTACCACTTTCTATTCTGTTGACTACTGAACTCTGATATTTATTTTCACTGCCTTGAAAAATTAATTAGCAAAGACTTGATAGGAAGCATGGAGCAGAGGATGTTGTAGGATAAAAGTAAAGATGAACAATCAAATAGAGAGCCATATTAGGCTTTGATGTTGTAGGCCACACCACAAAAGAAGCTGAGGTCATGTAAAAAAAATTAAAAATGGGAGAAAATTAAATATTAATATGTTTAATTAGATTACTGAATTTTTAAAATATAACATATTGTGATCCTACCCCTCCACACCTTACCTTGTTGACTATAATTTGAAAAATATTTTTGCTCATGAATGTTGAAGGATTGGATACTTACTTTTGAAACTCCATTTATTTTCCACAGGATTCTTATCGTAAACAAGTAGTTATTGATGGAGAGACTTGTTTGCTAGACATCCTGGACACAGCAGGGCAGGAGGAATATAGTGCCATGAGGGACCAATATATGAGGACTGGTGAAGGCTTTCTTTGTGTGTTTGCCATTAACAACAGCAAATCATTTGCAGATATAAATCTTTACAGGTAAGTACTCCTTATAAATGAAAAGAAATAAGATGGGGTGGGCACATTGTCCAGTAGCTATCACAGCTTTAAAAGAGAGATGGTTAGTAAGGTAATGATTAGTAACTGCCGAGATATTTTATTTAATATTGTATATCAGTGTCAAATGGAACTTTCAAAATGTACTGGACGCTAGTTGTGGTAGATGAAGAAGAACATAATCTGGTTACTGGAAGGATTAGAAATATAAACATAGGTAGGCATAACATAGACTTGAAAGGCATCTTTTCAGCCTCATTGTTTTACTTGCATAATAGCAAGTAAATTTGCTTTGATTTCTACCCGCCTTTTATCTAGAAATAGAGGTTCCATAAAATAATACAAAATAATATTGGATTTAATTCCCCCAATGGAGGGCATTATTTTGGCGGAATAATTCCCACAGGATTGCAAGTCTTCTCAATAGCCAGAGACAGGGCATCAGTTGTATCTTGATTGGGCTGTTCATCAGCGACAGCATAAACAGTGTTGGAAAGAAGTACAGAAAGCATGTTTTCTCTCTCCCATCATATCTTTCTCCAGAGAGCAAATTAAAAGAGTGAAAGATTCAGAAGATGTACCAATGGTATTAGTGGGAAACAAATGTGATTTGCCAACACGGACAGTAGACACCAAACAGGCTCATGAAGTAGCAAAGAGCTATGGTATTCCCTTCATTGAGACATCTGCCAAAACAAGACAGGTAATGAATTCTGGTATTTCTGCTCATCTCTCAAGAGAATAGCTAGAGCTATTGTTAGGTATATGGACAAATCTGACTGAGAGGGAAGGCATGACATTAGAACCTGCTGGTAGGAGCAGCCATCTTGCAGGCTATTTAAATTTGTAATTTGGAAGAACTATACTGCCTAGTCCTATTTGCATTTTTACATTAATTACTAATCTAGTAACTGGATTTTGAAGAAGTGAAATCTACTTTCCTAAGTTTTCCTTGTCACAGACCTGCATGGAATTTAATAAGTTCTTATACATTTAAGTTTTCTTTGCTTTTAATTGTTAACAGCTGTGTTAAGAAACAGTTTATATTTCAGATGCAGAATCCTAGTTCTTTTAAAATGGGGGAGGACTCTTAACATTAATGAAGAATATTATTGGTAAATTCAGCATAGGGTTTTTCAGGAGGAATGTGAGATAATTTAAAGCATAGGAAAATAATTTATTTGCTCAAGACAGTATGTCTCCCAACCTTCCATTCAGGGTGTTGAAGATGCTTTTTACACACTGGTGAGAGAGATCCGTCAGTATCGAATGAAAAGGCTCAACAGCAATGACGATGGGAATCAAGGCTGCATGGGGGTCTCGTGCCTTGTGATGTGATCAGGTAGGATTGGACTAGCTGATAGCTTATGTTTGACAAGGTACAGTGTAACGTTTTTGGAATATCAGTTATTTTGACAATTTGTAAATTTTTTATAATGTACGTTTGTTCAAAGAAGGAACGAATCTCAACTGGAGGCAATCTGTGAGCAATGAAAGTGAATGATTTTTAGAAAGCATTGAGCTTTTCTGTCATCAAGCTGACGAGACCCTGGATATGCTTCTTCAAAGCTCAGTTACGTTAAAGGATTTAGCAAAAAATACTTGGCACCTTCATCATTGCTGGTGGAGAATGTTGCTTTGTTGTGCTGCAGATCAGTTGAAGTTGATGTAATTGATACCAAATCTCTGCATCATATTTTGTAAAAATGAAAGTTCTTGCAGTTTGGATAACGCATTCCTGATGATAAAATGTGTGTGCTTGTAGCCTTCTGGGCTCTGGAATTTCTTTTGCTTTAACTTTATATTGGCATGCACTACAGTATCTAATTCAGCCTCTGGAAATCAGTATTACATGTGTAGCTCCTCTTGAATTTTGCAGAGACGTTCTAAGACAAAGCTGTGCTAATAATATTTTATGTATAATGGAACAGAACTAACAAAACATATTTATCTGTTTCAGCTGCTTGAATCATCCAACCAAGCTCAAAGTTGAATCTTAATTCCACTGTGTTGCATTTCATGATGATGCCTTGGCCAGTATCATGCAAGTTGCCAGTTGATCAATACTAAAACGTTCTATCAGCACCAGAAGATACTGTTTCTGAACATCTACCTCTTTGCTCAGTTGAGCATGCAAAGAAAATCTCATATGTTATGTGTGGGATTTTTCACCTTTCTTGGGTAGGTTCAAACAGAGAAACTGATTATATGGAACTGTAGAGGCCAAATGCTATGAAAAGATAACATCTCATTTTCTGGAAAGAAGGCTGGAATGAATTGTGATCATGCTATCCTGAAAAGCCATTACATAGCACTGTATGGTAATATTATGCTTGATTTCCTATACGCCATTTTAAAACAGGATATTTGTCACATTTCCTATACTATGTACATAAATATTCCTATAGTACATTAAGTTAATCACTCCTAGTCTGACCTCTTTAATTCTGGCCTTTTTATAACAAAAGGGAAATTCTTTGATTATCAAGTGCCTCTTTACAAAGGCAAGCTAGACCTTAAGCCTTATCATGCAGGTTGCAGCTCTGGTTCCTAGCTGACCCATCTTGAATGTTTGAAGCTGACTCAGATTATTGGTCTGTGTAACCCAGTATTATCTATGCTTGACTAATAGTGGTTCAGTTTCTTAGCTTTATTGTTTTATCCTTCCTAATTGGGCTTCCCAGTGTACTGAATGTGGGAACTTCTGCAGAACATATTTACTATCACTGGGCTTTATCATCAGAGTTCTTTGCATCATTGACTGAAAGGCACTTTGAGATTAAGATTCTCTTGAGGAAATAGCAGTCAACTGCTATTCTCCATTTTTAAATACATTCCATTTACCTTGTGCTTGAAGGTACTGATGTTTCTCATCAGGGCCACTTATTAGCTGTGGATACTGTCAACAGCAGTTACTCCAGTGTCAGTCATAAAACATGGCTGTATGAAGTTTGTGTAGGAAAAAAGCTGTGCTATCCCAGCTATCTCTGCACTTCTATTTTTAGTTAAATTTTGACATCTTTGTCAAGCACAGTGTCTTTACGCTTAACTAGTGAAAAAACATATTTAGGGAGCCAACTTCATTAGCATTATTCATTTTGAAAGCTCTCTCCAGGCTACTGCTGTGCAGTGAAACTAGAGGTGAAGAGCTAGGGTAAAATGGAACTAGAGGAGTAGAGGATGAACTTAATTTTCCTGCTGCTTAAAAGTAGGAATAAATTGATACTGTACATTCAACCTTACAAACTATGGAGCTGGATTCCTCAGTAGCCTACATACCTCTATGATAAAAGAAGAGGAGCTGTGAGTTTTCCTTTCTGTAATGCTGGGAAGTAGTTGACTGAATAGATTACTATTTATATGTTGTATCTAAAATCTGGTCCTGATTCTCATGTATGTGTATCATCTCATTTGCAACTAAGTGAGTGAACTGCCTTCATCTGAAAGTAGATGCCTAAAATGATGTGAGGTGATATGAAAGCTGTCTGTGGTGACTGTTTTACATATGCAGATCTGGTTGATGTGGTTAATATGTTTATGAATTCTAAGTTGAAGCACAGAAATGACTTTAGTAGAAACTGAATTTGTGGTCATTAAGTGCTTTACTGGTTTACAATATTGCCATTTTACTGCATAAATTCTAAGTTGGATAGAAAACCACTATCTAATCCAATCTATTTAATCACCAAGTAAGAAAGTTGGCATAACATTATTTCCTAAATATATAACTTAATGGATCATTTCAGACATACTTTATCTGAAGCTAATCTCATACTGCATTACATAGGGCCATACAATAATAGATGTGTTAATATGCTTTATTGCTGGCTAATATGTTAATATTAAACCAAGCATCACAGAGCTCATTTTCTCAAGAAACTGATGTCACCTGAGCAATAAATTGATATGTTTAAAGTCCCTTTGCATGTTGCTCAGTGCTAGATAGTGTTCAATTTTTTCTTAGTGTCATTCTTTGTTCTTTAGTAGCTGTGTGGCATAAACATTGGTGAAGATAGTGAAATATTCTGAATTTCTATATGTCAGGCAGCTTTCTAAAGTACAGGAGCACTACTAGAAAACAAGGGACTATCTAAATAGAAACGACAGTGAATTGTTGGACTTAAAAGAATTAGTGAGAAATCACACCCCTTGGTTGGCATTTGCGGTTTGAAAATTGTAATTCCAGGAGTCTGAAGATTAAGTGTCATATTTGGCTCTGTGTTCTGCATGTTTGCAAATGAGTATACATCTGAGAAGCACATAGTAATATATTAGTAATTTTCCATCAGGAATTCACTTGTTATGAATGATGTTATTTCACTACAAGTGAAATGTTTTAGTTTAATTAAAAATCAGCTTCTAGGATGAAGTGAGTGAAGTTGGCTAGTTTGGGTGATGGAAGCAATTCTCAAAGCAATTGTTTGCTTCAGCATGTAAAACATTTCTCCAACAGTTGATAAGATTTGTAATTCTTGCCTGTGAAATCTCCTGCGTTTACATTTGTATTATATGCAGAGGATGTTGTAGTGGCTAGCCTGAGCCACAACAATATATTATTCATAGGTGTCTTCCCCAGATCACTGTTAGTCTCTTCCTGTAGCGTTAAGTAAAAAAGGGATTCCATAGGAAGCATTTGAAATAACATGCAGCAGTAACAGATATGAAGCTAAACCTCATGTATTTGGAAATTCAAGAAAACACACAGATTATTTATGTAGAATTGTTGCTCACTAATTATCATGAATAGATGTATAACTAAAACAACAGCATACTCTTGAAAGAGTATGGTACATGCTTATGGTGTTTGCAGGTTTAAAAAGTGGTATATTTTAAAATAAGTTTTAAAACCATGTTTCTCAGCTAATCAGGGATGTCTTTGTTACTGTTTTAGAAGACAGTCTCACTGATTCATGTCATTCTGCAAAAGCCCCTTTCCAAAACAAGTTGAATGAAGTTGGATTTTCTAGTTTATGATGTTAATAACATTAAAGCGTACATAAGGAAAATATATTAATTCAAGCTGGGCTTCCACTTAAGGATCCTTGTTTTTCATCTAATTGATTATAATAATGCTGTTAAAATTATACTAATAATGTTCTGTAAGGACCGTATATATTAATTTTACTGGACTGTTAATTAGAAAACAAGATTACAGTGTTTAATCTGCTTAATATTTTCGAACATTTTCAATGACTAAAAAAATATTCCTGGTACAGCAGGATAATAATATGTGTACTTATACAAAGTGTTGACCCTTTTTAAAGGGAATGGTTTCTCTCACAGGATGAATGGCTTCTGTAAGTTGCCTGCTGTGACATGTGTAGATTATCTTTTTTAATTTTTCAGAATGTTTAATATACTAACTGTTTCAGAAATATTTTGCCCATATGAAAATGTAATTGGTCCACCAAAACTCATGGTCAGTTTCTTGTGTTAGCTGCTATCTGTGGTTTTTTTAAAAAAATGCCTATATTGATTAGTTCTCTGAATTTTGGTAAGGTACATTTGGACTGTTTGAAAGCAGAAGTGCCTTTGTTGCCTAATAAATTTGAGTTCCTGGAAGTTTATGTACGATTAGAAATTCCCAATCACAGCAGATGACAGCACCTTGCCAATCTAGGCTGATCTTGAAAAAGCTAAGCAGGGTTGAATGGGTTAGTATCCCAAGATTATAGACTAGACAAAAAATCCAACAAACCATCCCCCTTTCACCAAGCTTCATACTGTTGCCATATAGTCATTAGGAGTCAAGCTTCACTTCAGAGAGACTTTAAAACTCCCATCTTTTTTACGTGTGCGTAAAATATAATTGTGTATTGCTAGTCCCTTACTCATTGTTTAGCACAATATATGATAGAGCTTAGACATGGTTAGGTTCTATTTCTACAGACAAAACAAGAAGGAATTGCAAGATGCTATGTGTATCATTGAGGGTCATCATTGCTAGATCAACGAGGTCAAGATTCTGATTATATATAATTCAGAGGCAGCTAAAAATTGTTCTGGAGTTCTGGGGCTGATATTCTATCAGTTTATGTTTATTTGGATAGCAAAGGGACTTGTCTTAACAATGCTATAACATTTACTGTAACAACTGGTTTCACTTTTAGTTATATGCTTATTTCTAGGCCTCATATAGCTGAATTCCACAGTTAATATAGGACTGTGTGGATAAAAAACGGGCCGTGCTTCCAATGTATGGTATTTCATGAACTTACTCTCTGGATTTCCAGACCACTACTAAATGTTAAAGGTTGACATATTGTCAAAGCACTAAATCCAGTTCCAATTCCATTGTAATGTAATTCATTTTTAACTGTGTTTGAGCAAACAATGTTTTTTTTCCCCTAAAATACATAAATATTTCTTTGGTGTGTTTGTTCAATAATTGGGTCAGAAACAACATCCTCTACTTTGTATTATGAAATGTGGGTAGGTCATAATTAATTACCAGAACCTGTAACTATTGCAAGATGAATTCCTTGTCAAATGAATGTGGACCACCTTCAAAACACCTGGAGATCTATGAATAATGACAGTACATTTTGGCCTGGTCAGATCCCTAGACTGCAATAGCTTGAAAATAGCTAATGTCGTCCCACCTTTTTTCAAAGTAGACTTTTTCCATGAAGTTAAATATTCATAATATTCAGCATCAAATTTCATGTCACAATAAAGCCTAAATATATCTAGCTGCAAGTAAGTCAGGAAATAAGATAACTTTTTTGCTATATGTAGACCCAAGATCTTAACAGAAATACATAATAACATTCTAATAAAGCCTGTAGAGGTTGATGTTCAGTTAAATTCAGAGGATAAAATAAATGTCCAATGGTATTTTTGAAAGTCTGGTAAATTACATCTCTTTCTTGAAGAAATAGTCTCAACTTAGCCAATGAAATCCTTGGTCTTGCCATATACATTTTCTTGAAAGTCTATTGATCTAAATAAAATACCTATGCTATATGGAATTAACATTGGGATACCTCTTAAAATATATATCATTCGAGGGGTAATATCCATTTTAAGAACATTAATTTTACCAACTTAATGGAAATTTAATCTAATTTAATTTTAATATTAATTTGCGGGATTGACTCTCCCTGAGGGTATAAGTCCATTGTACCAGATCAGATAGGGTAAGCATGTGACTCTGGGCAGCTTACATTATTAAAATATACAGTGCAAAAAGTTAAAAAAAAAACAGCACCTAGGAAATCATAAAAGCAGTCATTAACATAATCAAGCAATGGGCTCCATCACACACCTGGGCCCCAGGCTTTTTAATCATATATGTGTGGGTGTTTAATATGATAAAACCCAACATCTTACATTAATCTATTGATATATTTGATCCCAAAGGAAGTGAACTAGATTTTTCTCAAGTAGTCATATGACCTGAGTATTTTCCAAATTGTTGAACCTCCTGTATCAAGTTAGCCATAATTACCCTTGGCCTAGCTGCCTGAAACTTTGCTTGGGTTACACTCACCATGCCCACTTTTTAAGTTATAAGCTTCTCCCACCAGAGTTCCAGGGGATAAAGATGCTGAAAAATGTTGGTGCTGCAAAGGACTATAAGCTGCAAAGCCATAACAATTAAAGCTTAATTCAACTACCTTGGAGGTGCTTGGCTCTGTAAGTAGCATGTCAAGATACAAAATCAACCAAGAAAATCCTATTACTGTAGAATGTTGCTATCAGCTTTCTTCTGGCTGAGCAAGATTTTGTATATAGACCTCTACAGCTTGAACTTACTATAGATGCACACTGTCAAAAGTATGGAAATAGGCTAAAAGTCTTTTTTCACTGCTGCAATTATGTTAATCCTTTCTACAAAAGACAGACGAACCAGTTACTATGCTGTATGTAGTCAGAATTCAATAAACAACATCTTGCTATGTGTATTTCTTCTGAAATGCCATAGCTACCTGATGGCTTTCAGTGGCATGCAAAGGAATTTAAATTATCTAGTTATTTAATATAGCCATAGATAATATTAATTAGACAAAGTCTGCTACTCCAAAAGGAATTATTTTAGAGTCCATCTGTGATGCAATAATTGTGAAGCATAGATTCCAATAGAAAAGAATATATGTAGCTCAAAGTTGAACTGTGGAGTCCTTGGAAGCATTGATTATTTGAATGCTTAACCCCCAATTTGAATTGGTGACATAATCTGTTTCTCAAACTTCTGATATGGGTCATAGTTTGTTGCAGCAGTTATCTGCTCAGCCTCTCTTAATACAATCTCATGTTCAATCAAAATCCATTCCAATCTTCTTGATTTGGTTTATGTTCTTCCCTCTTCTGTACGCCAACCTTTCAGCTACTTTAAAAGTGCAGTTGTATTGTCTGTAACGTTCAAAAGTAAGTGTCTCTGGTAGCTGATTTTGGATGTCACAAAAGACAAGAAAATAACTGATATTTAACCATTGCATTTTGTTCTGCTGTAAGCTGAGAGGTATTGATGTTGTTTTCTGGCTCAGGTTCAAAATAATTCAGCTGGTCCTTGGCAATGTGCACCATGCATTTACTGAGATAGGGGCATGCTTTGCTATTCTTCTTGGGCAGCAAAACTTCTTGGGCTGCCCCTGTTCATAATCTCCATCTTCTCCAGTTCCATCTTTCACCACGGCAACCCATTCACCAAGCAGCTGACCACTTTCATAGAATCCACTGGCTCCATTTAAATATACCAATTTCTGAAAGTGCTGTTAGGCACAGTAATCTAGATGCAGAACACTAGGGCAGAATAAAGTGAAGCTATTACTTCCTATTCCTTTGAAACTCTGCTTCTATTAATGCTACCTAAAATGTACTAGCCTCTTTTATAATTATATCACAGGGATTGCTCGTGTTTAGTTCAGGACTGTCTCCAACTCCAAATTCCTTTTGTGTTCCTGCTAGGCCTAATGTTACAAGCCTTCTTCATTTATACTATTTCTATATCACCTGCTTGAAAACCCTCAAGGCAATATAAAAGTATCAGCAAACAATAAATCAATCACATAATATGGCATTATTATTAATGTTACATAGTTATTATTAGGTAGTTCCATTATCTAGGCACAGTTGAAGCTAAAAGCTAGAAATGAGAAGTCAAAATACTTCCCAGAAGGTGACAATGGCAAATTAACTGTTGCCAAAAAAACTTCATGACTGCAATCACAAGAAGTTGGCCTTATCTCAAGGGCATCTTTATCTTTTAACATGTATAAAGATGTGGCTTGGCACTGACTGGGTTCATTTCACATGCTAGCCATAATATGGTATGTCTGGTTTTGGTTTAGCATGTTGTATGAACCCCTCCCTCCCATTGTTTATAGTTCAGTCTGTTGTTTGAACCCACCTAATTTTGTCTAAGCAGACCCTGGTTTAGCCTGTTGTGCACACCTTTCCCAATATGTAAAGGATATTATTTGGCTGAATGTAATTTTGTCATCTTTGACTTAGTACTTCATTCAATAATTTTTATTCTGAATTAAGTTTTGTGTCATCTACAAAAGAGTTCTCCATACATTTTAAAATCCGTTCTTTTCCTTATTGTCAAAGACTGAATTAAAATTTGATGGATGAAATGTTTGGTTTATAGAACTTAAGAAAGAGGTCCTTTCCTACTTGATATCTGTGCCCTAAGAGTTCTATATGAAACATTTCCTTGGAAGTGACTGAGCAGAGAATGACCTGTTACCTTCTTATTTTAAGAAGGGAATGTAAATTGTGTGACTTGTACTGGCCCAACAGGAATTCTAAAGCCCCATTTCTACTCTGCCAGCCACTTTGATCTTAATTTCTTCTCAAAAAGTCAATAGTATATTCATGTAATCTCTGAAATGAGCAGTAGCCTTAAACATTATTGAGAGGTAGACCTGCTCCAAACTTTTTTCAAAGAGAGCCAGATTTGATGAAGTGAACACGTGTGAGGGCCGACCATTTTGCCTGACATTCTTTGAACCATTAAAATTAAATGCAAATTAACTATTTTATGCAAAGTTTATTGCAAACGGCATACTTTTAATTTCTTCACATGGATGACAAATCCAAACTGGTGTTAAATCACTCTCCCTTTCCTATCTGAAGGCCAGATGAAAAAAAAATCCAGGAAGCTGAAATATATGTCAGGAACATTGTAAAGTACATTACATATTATTGGTAATAAAGGTTGTCTGTCAACTTTTAAGTTCAAAAAATATGAACAGGAACATAACACCAAGTATACATGTTATGTCCAAATATATTTATAACTGATTTAGACCAACTGACATTAACTGAGATTTTACAATGTATTCATCTCAATTGAAAAAAAAACTTGCCTGCACTAATGTGAAGGGTGAAACTGAGATCTGGACTGTAGCACATAGGCTAGGTCTGGTTCTAAGGCAGTGGTTTTAATGCGCAAAACGTCACGCAGGTGAGAGTCACTTAGGCTTGTCCTCACGCAGTTCTTGTTAAAGTTCATAGCAGAGAATGTCTTCTCACACAAATATGTTGAGTCAAACAAGCTCAGCATTTTCTTAACCAGTGTTCGAATCTCTTGAAACCAGCCCTTATCCAGTTGGCAGTAAAAGTTCACAAGAGAGAGCTGTTGGTGACGACTGCGTAACTCGCTGTCACAATGCAGCTCAATGAGCTCGAGCTGCAGCTGATCTGGAGCATCATCGGGGTCAACAGAGAATGAAGAGGAGAAAAGACTGATCTCCTTTTCAATAGCTGCAAAATCCTGAAAGCGCCGTTTAAACTCCCCAGCCAGAGATGCCATGTCTGCTGCATACCTGCTCATTTGCGCACTGATATTGTCCTGTGGAAAACTGTTCATTATTTCCTGAAATGCTGAAAAATGTATGGTATTGGGCTGTGTTTGTGACAACTGCCTTAGGAAAAGTTGCAGCTTTGTTCCAAATGCTTTGAGGTGTAAATAAAGCTGGTTCACCGCTGTATCTTTTCCCTGAAGACTCGTATGTATGGTATTGGGCTGTGTTTGTGACAACTGCCTTAGGAAAAGTTGCAGCTTTGTTCCAAATGCTTTGAGGTGTAAATAAAGCTGGTTCACCGCTGTATCTTTTCCCTGAAGACTCGTGTTCGGTACATTCAGATGCTTTGTTATGTCAACTAGAAACCCCAAATCAGCCAGCCAAATAGGATCAGATAGTTCTCGCATCGGTTGTCCCTTTGGGTCCAAGAATTCTCCGATTTCCTTTCTGAGAGAGTAGAAACGCTGCAGTGCAGACCCCCGACTGAGCCATCTTACATCATTGTGATATAAAACATTTTCGTATTCAGCCTGGATGTTCAGTAGAAACTGTTTAAACTGGTGGTGGCACAGGGCTTTAGAGCAAATAAAATTAATAGTCTTTAGCA